AATTGAAAGATCAAAAAGCCGGTCGTTATTCAAAGGCGATTCAAAAAATAAGTGGGGCTGTAAAACGAAAAATTCTAGACCAATTTTAGTTGGATATTTCAATTCCAAATGTTTAAAAAAAAAATGACTAAAAACTATTTAAAGTTGGCCTAAGGATAATTAACACTTCTGTGCAATTGCCTTAACTTATAATTTTTCTTGATAACCACTTAATAGATGCAAAAAATAAATGTCGCTTCAGATTTTACTAAAATAGGGAAAATTTTTGATCGCCCAATCATTTCACAAAGACGCTCGCGGGTCATTTTTCAACAACCCGCACTTATTAAACTTTATACAGAATCATAAAAAAAATTATGTACTTACATATATATATATATATTAATTATGTAAGAAATATCAACAAAACCTCTATTAATGGTGGATGTTCAGCCTCATAAAAGCCACAGTTGGTTGGTTGCTTACAATTTTACATTAGAAATCCTAAGTTAGGATCAGAACTATAGTCACAATTATCAGAATTTTCGCTTTAAATATATATTTGTAGATTTTGAAATTACAGGAAATAATATTATTAACTAAGTTATCGGAGAACTTTTTCTACTATTTTGACGTTCGGACTGTTTAAAGTATAATGTTTTGTATTTAACGAAGATTATGATGACAGAAAGGAAAGACTGTTAAAATTGGATTTCTTATGTATTCTAAATAATTAAATATTAGATACTTTTTTATTGAGTAAAAATTAATTTTCACTGCATATCTTAAATTATTATAAATTGGCATTTAACAAGGAATGGTCTTGCTTAAATTATAGTCTGGTCAATAAGAGTACGAATTGACCATTCCCGATGGTTTTCTTTAATAATTAAACTAGAGTCACGCTAGTCTAGTTGCCATCTTTAAATTAAGTCCTCGTGGAACTTAATAAATAAGTTTTATACTTACCGAACTCGGTAAAAATGAGAATAAATTATTTTGATTATTATTATATTAATGTTTAGAAAATTGTTAAATATTCTTACTTTAATAAAACACAAGAAAAAAGAAAATGGAAAAAAAAATCATCAGAACTATTCCCATCTGACAATAAGCAATTTGAAGCAAATATTGAATAAAATTGAATTTATTCATTTATATTAAATTAAGTATGCAAAATTATTCAGTATATACACAATTACATTTTAGATCATCTGATGAAGACGAAGAAAAAAAATGAAGATGATAATAATAGTAGCATTGAGACAATTAGTAGATCTGATTTTTAAACATGATAACTTTTATAATTTATATAAAATTCAATAAACAACAATCATTGTATTTTATTTTCTAATTGTTAAATAATTAATATTTATCTAAATATTGCATTAAAAAGGGTCATTTTATAAAAACAAAAATGTTTTTTTTTGTTATTTTTTAAAATTTTTACAATACAACTCAATACTACAATACAATATATATTTTTAAACTAAATCTTCAAAAAACAACTTTACTTTTATACTGTTATGAGTAGTAATTTTATTTAACATTTTTTGTCCATTTTATATTATTATTTAAAATTCAAGTCGAAAAAAAAAGAAATGGCCTTACCTAAGGAATGCTCGATCAACAAAAGTGCATCCCCAGTTTTCTTTATAAAATTAGACTGCAAAAAATGTACAAGTTGTTCCAGATAATTCTTCTGTCATAGGACTTAGTTTCTAAATTTATAAATGAACAATTTACTGATTTATTTTTGTCGTCAATAATTTATCTAAAACCTACCCTGTAGCAAAGTTTTATTGTTTGTGTAATATTTTTTTTTTTATGTATGAATTGGAAATTACAAAAATATTATACATATAATAATTTTATGAAAATATTTTTTTTAAGGTTTACTGACATAAATACATGAATACAATATAGTCGCAATGATTTCCCATGTTCTGCAAATTACCGGGTTGCAGTCGTATATATATATCAAATATTTTCATATTATAATGTATATAATACTTCTTTTTAAGACTTAGCCCCTTAATATTCACACGTCGTGTTTGTAGGTCATTATAATAACTCATTGTTAGATTAATATTATAATATTAATAGTATCTTATTAGATGTTGAAAGTAATACCACATTATTTCTATGCTTAATAAATTTAGTACTGAAAGCTATAAATAAAAAATTAGTGAACTGGAATAAATAATGTTTGTTTTGGCATTTTTGATGCTAAAATGAGGTAATTTCAGTTTTTGTTTGACTTTTGTAGAACACTATAAAAGTTATCAACGTTAAATTATAAATAAGGTTTTAATATATTTTAAAATGATGAATAAAAACAAACGTACTATTGTTATTTATTTATAAAAGAGCGAAAATCGAATTGTATTGTGGTGTTGTATGTAATGTATAACAAACGTTTGTAAAACATCAATTTTGAGAGGACTGGTAATCATCACTCGTTTGTCTGACTAATTTCGCTTTTCATTTACACCCCGTCGGCAATCGCAGTTGTCGCACACAACTAACGTTTCGTTTCGATTTAACGTTAACGAGCCACCACAGTATCAAAATTAAATTGCCTACCAGTACGACAAAAATGTAAACTAACCATTACAACTCGAAATGACAATTACAATGTAATTTCTATATTTGAAACGACGTTATAAATGCATTCAAATTTATCTAACTTAATGATTACTTTAGGTATAAGCATTCCTGCAATTTTATGTTACATGTAATAGTAATATTGGTAACACATTCGATACGTTTTAAACATTCAGTATTTAAAACAATAAATATTTCAATATTTACGTTGGTTTTATGGGACGTTTTAAATGGTTTATTTGTGTTTTATCAGTTTTTAGCTTCGATGCGAAGCTGAGAAGGTATTTTTAATATGATTTTTAACAACCCCATTTGGTAACATAATAATATCGTCATATTATGACGACTACTAAGTATATAATTTATATTTTACTGGATATAAATTATAAATATGAACAATAACAAAAAAGAGACAGCCAAGAAAACCAACAAAGTGAGGGGGCTGCAGCATAGTTTGGACAAGTTACAAAAATGATTATCATGAAAAACTATTCAATGCGAATCTGTTGATAATGTTTCATTTTTTGAAGGAATAATTAGATTATTCCAAAAACAATGTTATTTCCTACAGAAGCTGATGTTACTTTTTTGTTGTAATCAGGATATAATTTTAGTTAATATAATCAGGGGCGGACTTAGGTATGTGGTGGCCCCTGGGCGGAATGCATTGTGGGAGCCCCTTATACATAAACAAGGAAATATATTTTTTTACTTATTAAATAACAATTATTATCATATTTGTGGTACCAATGTATATCAAATTTGTGGGGGGCCCTGAGCTGCAGCCCACTCAGCCCTCCCCTAAATCCGGCCCTCAATATAATTCCTTAATTATATCTTGATTTCGAGTTGTACCATATTAATATGAATTATGAGTAAAATATATGGATAAATAATTATTATAGTAATTAAATTTAATATAAAGTTTAATATTCAATCATTTTTACGGAGAAATAGAAAAAACACAAAAGAAAGTTTGAATATTGACTTTTGTTAATTATTATGAAATTGATATTATAATTTAGCCATCATAAACTATTGGTAACCAGAACAATTTTCTAGGTAAGTACAGTTTTTTTACTTTAAATATAAATTTTGAATAGACATTATAAACTGCAAAATATTATTTTAAATTATTAATAACTTCTGAAATACTGGTTAAAAAATAACGTTACGCTCCTGTAAGACATAAAAAACATTATATAACAGTTAAATGGAGATATACTGTTATTGTATCTAAATAAAGCCAAGAAATACACTTTATCAAATATACCCCTATGTCTAATAAAAAGAAAATATCTAAGATATTTTAAAAAAGTTGAGTTTTAAGTAATATTAATTTTAAAAATTGTTGGGAGATTTCCCTCATATACGGAGAATTTTTTCTATTTTTAAGAGCAATGTCTTCAATTAGATACGATTTTTGATCCTTCAACGTATCATTAAAAGAAATCGGTCTAGCGAATGCTAAAAAAAATCTTTGAGTAAAATTAATACCTTTTCATATTCAGGACGAAGCTAAAATATTTATTTAAAATAGCAAATTTATTTTTTAAATTTATATGCATATATATAAACTGAAAATTCTTGATATATTTTAAATTAAAATTAATTTTGAACAAATATGATTTAAGCAATGTTGTGATGTTTAAAAAAATACATATATTAATCATATTTAATTAAAACATGTTTTATACATTTAAATTAACCTAACACTGTTTTATTTAGATCATTTAAAACAGCATATAACTATAATTATTTTGTATAATTTAACTAAAACTCGATTCTAATTATAAAATTATTTGTGTTAAAATATTAGAACTCATCATTTAACAATATAAGAATTAAAATTTGTTTAGTTTTTAGCTTTAATATCTATTGAAAAGAATATTTTTTAAATATTTACCTAAAGACATGAAAGTAAAAAGTAATATTATTATAGTAATAAATTTTTAATATTATTAATTTGATTTCAACTCCAGTAATAAACTACAAAAAACATGTATTTCTTAGTATAAATATACATATATATTATTTTAAAGGTAACCTAATATTACTTTTTTTACATTTTAAAGTGCTATCCTATAGTTACCACATTTTTTTATTTTTAAATTTCTAACTTTCCAGACATTTTTCAGGAAGGAGGCAACACAAAAAAAAGATCCTATAATAGTTAAAATTTTAAAGCAACACAATTATTGTGTCTTTTGGGGCAGTCTGGTCCTGCACTGTGAAAATTTTTTTTCAAAATTCTAAGTTCTTTAATAAAATTCCTTGACTAAACAAAAAATTTCCCTGACTTTTCAGATTTGTGACAATCTTACCTTAAGTTACTTAGACTTTGACTATATTAATAACTATCGCTCAATAAATATCTGATCAATTAACAATATTTAATATTAACAAAAATTCAATTAAAAAAATATATTAAATATAATATAAATAGAAGAAATAAAATAAGTATAATGTATTTGTTAGAATTCTTCTTCACTAAATAATTTCAAACATTTATATGAGGCAATACATTAGAAAGTTTGAAGATTAAATATTTACCATAAAGCAACAAAAAGGATGTATAATCGACTATTTTAAATAGAAAAAATGAATATAAAACCTTATTTAATCATACAATTTCTAAGATCGTTTATTAAATCTGTTACAAAAGCACAACATATTAGTAATTTTTTCATTTTCATAGTGATATATTATATTAAAGACATAAATTTCTATTTAATAACACCCAGGAAATGGTTCAGGACGATTTTTTCTTAAAACAAACTTGATTTTACGATCCATATCTTCATTGTAAATAGCTTTACATTTTTCAAAATTGATCCGTCGTCTCATTTGAGTTGGTTTTTCATAGAATCTTGTACGCCTATACTGATCAAAAAAACCTTCAGAACCCATAATGCGATTTAACAATCGACATGCTTCATCGACATTTCCATTACGAACCAAAACTGTCCTAGATATAAATTTCAAATGTTTCATTTTGAGTAAATAAATAATTTATTAGTTTTACTACTAATAATTATATAAAATCGATTATTAAATCTTTCAGTTTTTCACTGTTAAATCAATATATTTATGTATAATAATAAATTTTCTCATCTATTCAATAAAAATAAATTTTATAATTGGTGATAACGCGTTTCACACATTTATCAATATTGTTATGATGATGATAATAGAAACAGTGTAGGTGCTTCAAAAAAAAATATATAACTGTATAAATCTGGTATGTAAAATTTACTAAAATTTTTATTTGAAAAAAATCAATTCGAAGTGGATATATTCAATAAGAATCATTTAAATAACAATGTATTTAGTGATTTTATAATAAAATATAATTTTTACAAAAAATACAATTACAAAAAAATTAAAAAACGTTTCAATTTCTCAATGCTTTTTAAGTGTTTAAAATGACAAAATTTAAATTGGTCTTATAATAGTGACGCAACTATTGAAGGTGCTAAACTCTAGTACCATCCCTGAATTATATAGTATATAATTATTATTATAGTAATTTTAAAATATAGTTTCAACTAAGTATTTTTATTTATAAAAAAATAAAAGTATTTATTATTAGTTTTTTACTTTTCTTGTATTACATTCATATTATACTACTGTTGTTAAATAAAATCATTTTGTGATAACTGAGACATTTCAATAGTAAGCTACCTATCAACTATAATGGTTAATTCGATTATACTGTCATTTATGATTCGGCAACATTAATATAAGCATTATACATTATAGCCATTTACATTAATTATTATAAACAAAAACAAAACTCTAATTTCTTCAACAAATATATATGTTAAATAAATAATTATACATTATAATTTATTAATTTGTAACATAATATAATGAATTAGGGGGTGTGGGAGGCAACTTTGTAAGCTTTGCACAATTTTAGTGCTAGAATTTAGCTCTAGTAGCGTCATTGTCTTGGAGGACATTTAAAAGTTTTAAACAGGTTTTTTTTTAACAACTCTGGTTTAAAATTCTCAACTAAGCATTTTTATTAAAAATCTTGTAACCAAATGAAATTAGGCGTAATGCTTTTTAACAGATCCTGCTTTAATTTACCATAACGAATTTAAAAAAAGATTTCACCTCGATAACTCTCTACTCAATACTTGCTCATATCTAATGAATAGATTTAACATTATTATTATTATTATTATTTTTTTTTTTTAATGAATTTAAAACCCATTAAAAGACACGTGACCTCTCCCAAAAGTGGTTTATAAATAAAGATGCCTGTGACCGAGTTTCGAATCCAAATTAGTATGTATCAATTTCTGCCTTGTTACAGACTAGGCCAAACCATCTAATTTAAATATTAATGACATTTAATCTTAAAATATATATATATAATTTATAAAAAATAATATACTTTTTTTTATTTAATCAATATAATACATTCAAAGATGCTATCTGGGATTAAGCAGAGTTGTTATATTTCAAACTCCAAAAATTAAAAAATTTACATTAGTAAATTAACACAAACATAAGATTTTTTTTGCTGTTCCTTTTAAAAGTTCTTTTAAGATAGGTGTTATAAATCTTAAAGTAGCAATGTGAATATTTAAAAGAATAAAAATGAAATATTTTTATAAAGTATCAACATTTGTCTAGTAGTATTTATATAATAATAGTGATTTATTTAATTTTACATAAAATGTAGATTACATCTTTTTCAAATCAAATTAACTAATTGTCTTCAATGCTACTATCATTATCATCACTGCCAACCTCTTCATTCATTTCTTTGTCTTCATCAGATGATCTGGAATAAAAATTTATATACTAAATAAACTTGCATACTTAATTTAATATAATTAAACAAATTTAATTTTACCCAAAATTTGCTTCAAATTCCTCATCATCAGATGGAAATAGTTCTGCTGGTTCTTTATTACCATTTTCTTTTTTCTTGTGTTTTATTAATGTAGGAATATTGAATTCTCCAAGCTATAATATAATAATAATCAAAATACTTTATTCACATTTATACCAGATTTGAAAATGCATAAGAAATTCGAAATTTTCTATGATGATGGTTTTCTTTAAACAGCTCTAATTGCTGTTAATAATTTTTTTTCTATAAAATGTTTAGATTTATCATACATTATGAAAAATTTAAATAAACTTATTAGTTCTTTTTAATCTAGTTGATTTTTTTAATTCTTTATACTTTAATACAAATCAAAGGATATAAATTGATTAATATTATTTATAAAAAATTTTAAGTCCATAAAATATACACAGACTTTAACATATTATATTCAAAGTATCAAATAAATTTTATATAATTAAAAATTAAGTAAATAAATTTTACTCACAGCAATATTATTTGTTAATTTTCTAGCCATTTGTTGTTGGTTTAATTTAAACCAGCTATCATAATATTGTGACATTGGTGTACCTGCTATTTTTATATCAGATTCCCATGCTTGAATTGCTTTCAAATCATAAAGAGGTATTCCACTTTTTCCTCTTTTTTCATTTATCATAGTAGACGTCTCTTTTACTTTATCTAATATGGTACGTAATTTCCGAGTATAATTTATATTTTTACAGTTCTTAATAAATTCTTTTAACTACAAAAAATATTTTTAAATAAACACAAAATATTTAAAAATATATATAAAACAAACCAACATTACTTTTATAGTAAGGGGAATAACTAAGTCTGGAAAACTTATTGTGTGTGCTTCAACAATAAGATAATCCATCAAAGAAGAATGTAGATTTTCAATAACTGCATCTTTAAATACATTTTCTTGTAATTGTGACTTTGATAAACGTAACACACAAGTAAAATCCATAGGACGCATAGAAGTTTTAGAATGTCTCTTTTGAAAGTCAACAATACTTAAAGCCTATCAATAATAGTACAAAATTTTAAAAATAGATTTATTGTAAATTAAGTGTACTTACTTCAATGATATGAGGCAATACAGGTACAAATTTACCAGTTTCTTTACTAAGTTTTGTTAACATTGAAATACAGTGGAACCGCAATGGTAGATATTGTACTGTTGGTATTAGTTTAACACATCCTATAATAATCTTAATAAAACACATAGATGGTAATTAATTTAATTAATAATTTGTTTCAATAAGAATATATAATTATTCTTTACCTGTATGAGAGGGTAAACTAAAGTTTGTAATTGTTTCTTATTTAATGTAGCACATAACACATCTGTCCATAATTTAAGTGATGAAAGATATTGCCAATTATATACAGATTGTATGTTTTCCTAGATAATGATTTTTAATAAATATAATAAAAATTAATAAAAAACAATCTAGTATTAACTATGTTATATACCTTTTTCTTTAACGTAACAGCATTTCTAAGATGTATGGCTAATTGTCTTATGTATAAAAATGCATGATTATATGAAATAGCTTCATTAATAGAAAACATTTCTGTCAATGATTGTCTCATAAAATTAATTCCAGGTAAAGATTTAGGTGAAACAAATTTACTGTTGGCAATATAACCAACATACATTGCCTAAAATTTGTATAAAACAGTTATTTAAGTTAATTTTTAGAATATTATTTCAATTTAAAGTATGCCTAAAAAATAATTTCATTTAATTTAGAAGACAAAATTGACTGAACTTTGAGGTGACATCTTTACAGGGAAAAAAATATATAACTTTATCCAGAACCGAACGAATTATAACTTAATAAGAAAATGAAACTAGAAATAATATAAAGTAGTTTTATTGGGGATATTTGACAGCAAAAAATAATTTCTAAATCGAGTTTTAAATAATTTTTAAAGAACACAATAATCCTATAAAATGAAACATTCTAACTTGGTAAATTTTGTTGCAAAATAAAACAATAAAATATTTTTTGTTTATAGTTCAATCAAGGATGTAACAAGCTATGGTTTCTGTTGCAGAAGAAAAGATTTTAAACATTAATGAAACATAAAAAAAAAATACCTTAAGAATCATTTCTAGATAAACTGTTGGGTCACTGTTAGCTAACTTTAATATACATAGGAAAGCAACAACTTTAACAGTTTCACAATCATTGGCACTCCATAATGCTACTAATCGTTTTAATATAGGTTTTACAATAGTTGGAAGACAAGATAAAAAGCTAATCATTTGATGTAAATGTTTCAAAAGAACACATGTAATGTCTTCACTAGATACATTGTTTAATAACTGTAAACAAAAATCAAAAAATTAAATAGTACACTAATTATTAAAACACAAAGAATAATTATTTTTTATTAACCTTAGTTAAATCAGTTAAGTATGATCGCACTGTCATTTTTACTTTATTCCAATACTTAGATTTTAATATCATATTTTTTGAAGTACAGCCAGGAGGAAGTTTCAAAAACTTTAAAATAGCTGGATATAAGTCGAACATACACATTTGGAGAACTCCATTAAATACTAAAAAATTCATACTTGTTAAATAAAGAAGTTAAAAATTTGATAATATTTGTAATTTATATATTATAATATTTATATATTTATAATTTGATAGTAAAATAAAATTAAAAATGCAATATTTAGATATTCCATAAGACAAGTTTTAATGTTATTAAAACTCTAAAAACCATAAGACTAAGAAGTTTGATTGCATTTTCAAAAATTTACTGAAACAATTAAGGTTCAAACAATTTTACTGAATCTAGTTTAAGAAATCTTTTAAAACAAATTAAAAAATCATATTTAGGACAATCTTTTTTTTTTATCAATTAATAAAATTAATAAAATAGCTATTTAAATATTAATTATTATAAATTAATTTTAAAAAACGGTAGCACAGTGGGGTCGCGGCATAGTGGACACATTGCATAGTAGGGTCCAGTGTAGATTTAATCTGACAGTGATTAAAATCACTATCATAAGAAACGCTTCGATGCAAATCTGTAGATAGTGTTTAATTTTAAAAAATTGATGGATAATTGCAAAAGCAACATCAACTTCTATTAAAATAAAATACAAAACCCATAATTATCATACAAAAATAGTATATTTTTCAATATGGTAGCCATTTGCGTATAGAAGATAGATCGTCGGGACAAATTTTTTTTTTTCATTTTGTAGTACATAAAATAAGCTTTAATTTTATATATGTTTAAAGGACGCAGTATTTCCGGAACATTTTCAAAAATTAAGTTGAAAAAGTTATTTTTTGTAAAAAAGTTACTATTTTAAATCCTCCCAGTGAGCAGAATAAGTGTTAGATTTTCAAAAAAAATTATATCAAATGAAAGGGAAATATCTAAGGTTTCAATACAAAAAAATATTATTTTTATTTGTTCATTTTTGAAAAAGTTATGGCAGTTTTAAGTACAAAAAACATCCCGATAAAATGTAATTTTTATCGCAAACATTACATTTTTTTTTAAATTTTCGACAGCCATTTGCACATAGAAGATAAGATGTCGGGACAAATTTTTTTTTTTCATTTGATAGTATATAACATAACCTTTGATTTGATATATGTTTAAAGGACGCAGTATTTCCGGAACATTTTCAAAAGTTCAGTTGAAAAAGATCTATGTTTTTTACAATATTTTAAGTTTTGAACGCCCCCTATATAAGGGGAAATTGTCCAATTTTAATAAAAAGTATGTCAAATGAAAGATGTACTTATAATGTATTTAGAAAAAAAAAATTTGTGCTGATATATACATTTTTCAAAAAGTTATAGCATTTTTAAGTTGAAAATTTAAAATCGAAAATCGAAAATTTTAACACAAAAATAGTGTTTTTTTAACTACGGCAGCCGTTTAAATGTAGAAAAAAAAGTGTCGGGACAAATTTTTTTTTTTCATTTTGTAGTACATAAAATAAGCTTTAATTTGATATATGTTTAAAGGACGCAGTCTTTCCGGAACATTTTCAAAAATTAAGTTGAAAAAATTAATTTTTGTAAAAAAGTTGCCATTTTAAATCCCCCCCAATGAGCAGGTTAAGTGATAGATTTTCAAAAAAATGATATCAAATGAAAGGTAAATATCTAAGGTTTTAGTATAAAAAAAAATTATGTTGATTTGTTGATTTTTCAAAAAGTTATGGAAGTTTTAAGAAAAAAAAGTGAAAAAATTTCGAAAATTAGCGATTTTTAAATTTGTAATTTTTTTGGATATTTCCCCCATTTGCGGGGAACGAGGGAATTTTTTTCAATTTTTAAGGGTAATGTCTTCAACTAGATACGATTTGTGATCTTTTGACGTATTTTTGAAAGAAATCGGTCCAGTGAGAGCTGAGAAAAAGTGGCAACAGACATAAAAAAAAAAACACATCATAGTAAAATTAATACCTTCTCCGCTTCGCATCGAAGCTAAAATATTTCCTTAAATTATTATAAGTCTTAGGGTCATTATAATTAAATTATAATGAGTACAAAATTGTTAATCAATGTAAAAAATTAAAGTATAAATAAAGGCTGAAAAATAAATAAATTTATGAGTAATAAAAATTACCTGAACTTCCTTCAACTTTATATGGAGTAGGTTTATTAATTTCATCTATTGTCACTCTTTGTAAAGCTGCAGTCATTGCTTTAGTTGCAGTGGTAATATACTTAAGTTTTTGTTTTCTATAATTAATTTATAAATATAATACATTTATTTATTTTTATATTGATGACATAATGATTCATATTGAAATAATAGAATTAATATCTTACGAATTTTGTAGTTTTTCTCTCCATGATTGTATCATGGCTAATGTTATAATAAACTGATCTTGTTCATTAACTTGATTTTCAAAATCACTTTCATCACTACCAATCTGAAATCAATAAATAAATATGTAATACTCAAGATTCTAGATGAAATTACTACTGATAACTGAATTCTCATCATTGTCAATTTATTTTATTTATGTAAAATCTATTGTTTATTGCTTCTCACAGAGGACAGGATTATCTATATAGTCCAGTATTGTGAAATCAATCATTAGTAACTGAGTTAAGTAGGCTTCTTAATTTAATGTTAAACTCAGAGCAGTTATAAACAAAATAAAAAAAACATTTAAGAAAATGAAATAACTTTAAGACTATATTAAGTGTTATTTAAATCCATTTAATCTAATTTAATACTAGTATAGAGTTCTTAATGTATAATTAAAATGGGTGTCTGCAATAATTGCATATTTTAAAAACTTTCCAGTTTTATTAAAAATAATAAAAATAACTTATGTAACTGAGTCAAGAATTATGAATTTACTCTTCAAAATTTTGTAGGTAAGTTGTTAATACAACTTTAGATTCATTGTATAATAAATTTTGAGCTCGCATCATTTCACGGAATGATTATTAGAATTGGCCACTAAGATCTTATGACTCGACACCTTTGGATTTTTTTAATGGTGTTATATCAAATCAAATGTGAAAAATCTTAAATGTTTGGTAGAAATATGAAGGAAAAAATATGTTTGAAAATAGCCAAAATTTGGTAGTTGTATGTGGTTCTACAGAATTTTATATAATAAATTCATAATTTTAAACACAGTCACAGGGGTCATATGCTCAATATTATTTTTTATACTTAATTAAGAAATATTTCTGAAGACAGTGATATATAATTTTTTTTCTACTATACTAAAAGAATTTAAAACCTACAGGTAATTCTTAAACAAATTGTATATTAAAAACAAATACATTAGTTTTACATTTTAAAACTATTAAATTATTTTAGTAAAATAATAAAGAATACTGAATTTACATTTAATAATTGAAATTATTTTATTATAAATCATTTTTATCACTACTAACTTCTAAATCAGTAGATGGTTTATGTAGTTTTTCTGCTTTGATACCTTCAATATCATCTTCATCATAATCTTCATCTTCTTCAGCTTGACTATCAAAACCATTTGATTCTGATATTTTAGAAAGACTTTTGTCACACTCTTTAATATATTTATAAAATTCTGGATCAGAAGTTTTTAATTTTTCAACTTCATCTTCCAAATCATCACTATCATATACTCGACCACCTTCATCTTCACTAAGACTGCTAGCATCATGATCAGATTCACCTAAATATAAATTTTCATTAATTTTATAACATTATTATTTTAATACAACATACATTCAAACTATTGTCAATTCTAATAAATAAAAAATAGAATAAGTGTTTAATTTTTACTTAAATAAAATCAATAATTTTAATAATTTTGCAGAAATATTATTTTCTAAATAAAAATATTTAATATCAAATTTATTACTTAGAATAAAATTAATTACAGAAAATATTATTAACAAATAGAATATTTGTAAAAGTTAAAATAAAAGACACAATTATTAGTAGTAATAAACAATTACAATTTTTTTTTTGGTTTACTTACTGTTAAATTCAATGCAATCTAAAGAATTATCAGAACATTTACTTTCATCGTCTGATTCCACTTTTTTTAGTTTTTCTGATATAGACTTCTTTTTTTTTAAAATTGTTTTCTTTTTCAAACCAGGTTTCATAGTGGGTGCCATCTTTCAGAATTTGTTATATAGAAAATATACTAAGTTCACAAATTGCACGTGTTTAGAATCCGACAAGATAACTTGGTATCAATAAACTTATAATGTTTGTGAATAAAAACAAAGTGGATTTATCTCATAGATATAATACATTAAATTGCTACCTCGTGATAACAGCTAAAACCATTATCTATTAAGCCAAACATTATCAGTCCTTATACATCATGTACAAATTTTTTTTTATCAACAACTTTTTTGATTTGATAACAAAAATGTTTACATGAAGTATAGAGAATGATAACGATTGGTCAAAAGAAAATGACCGCTTAATGGCTTCACTAGATAATATAAGCATTAAAGGACAGTTAGCAATCTAGTATATAACTAGCTAAGTGCTGCCCCATCGTACACAGTAAACCCAACAAATTCAAACCCACGAGTGATCCAGCAAAGAGGCTGCAAAAGCGAAGCGGTGTCGGGATCAAGTGATAACGGAAAAATGTGCAACCCCATCGTACACAGTAAACCCAACAAATTCAAACCCAGCAAAGAGCGATCGGGAGCAAGTGATTACGGAAAAAAAAAGTGCAACCATACCCCACAACAAATCCAAACCCGTCCCCTATTCTAGCAGAGGCTGCAAAAGCGAAGTTGAATCGGTATAAGATGATTTCGAAAAGGAAGTCTAAACGTTTCGAACGTATCGAATAGGTAATTGAAGATAACGAAGGGGAATTTCGAATTACGGCACGCCGATTGGTTTTGTGGAGGGAAATATACAGAAGTAGAATACTTACTAAAATCGATTAATATTTCATGATAAAGTAGAGTATTCTAAATTAAAGTACGTTGAATGTATTTAATGGAGTAGGCAAAAACGAATATTCCAAGTATTATTTTTAAAATAATACAATAGTAAATTGTTTGTTATTTACTAAGTAAGAGAGTCGTCGTATACAATAATTGACATGTATAGAATGTAAAATCTGATGATATTTTTTATATCAGATAATGAAGTCTTAATGTTTTTAATAATATCACACTGGTAAATAATATTGTAAACAAAGGATATTAATTTCTTTTAAAAATAAAAAAAATAAACGTTTCTTTATTAATTAATGTTTATTTATTGTCACGATCACACACATAAAAAAATTTTGTCCTTATTGAAGTACTATACTCGAAGTACAAATTGATATAATTATTATTAGAAAAATACGGTTTAATGAGAGACTCAAAAGTAAACCGATACTAATAATATTGGTAAAGGAATTACGTTGTAAATTAAATAAGAAATAAACATTTTCGATAAACTCCGAGAGCAGACTGCACATAGTAATCGTGATGATCCTTCGTTGTCGAATGGCAATATCTTATGGAATGGAAGTTTGACAGGCCTAAAAAAATAAACAATATAAATCAAAATAAAATCCAAGATAACAACAAAAAGCTTACAGTACCATTTTGGAGGAATGGCAAACAGTAAGGGAGGGCAAGCATAGGCTAAAAGAAAACCAACAGCACAGAACTATCAACACATCAACAGAAGTGAAAATATTGTAGATTTACCAAAGGCTATCTAAAATTTACAAATCACATTAATTAATAGTCACTATTATAATAGAGGAAAAAAAAGAAGATTTAAATATTTCATTTGTCATACGATTATCAATTACACATTTTAATAAATAATCACGTTGTTTCCGTTATACTTTCATCAGTAAAGATATTCATATAAATTAAAATTGCTAATAAATAATCGCATAACTGAATATAAATAAATATACACATACAAAAACATTTGGATCTTATCGGCCAATACAGTACATATTACTTTGTAACCAACAATAAATAAAATACCCACCGACCTAATAATTAAAGCAGGCAAAGTAATTAAATTTATTTCAAATAAAACAAGTCAAAGTCAGTTACCTGTGTAATACAATTATTATGAATTAGAGCCAGCACTCTTTGGGTCTGTTGGCCGCTAATAAATCACAGTCAACCGGGCAAGACAGATGCGCAGACTGAAAATTACAAAGTCAAATCAATTAATACTGCCATTACCATAATAATAATAAAATATCTACAATATAAAGTATATAAGTGTCAAAATGTATTTATATATATGTGTGTATATGTATATATAGAGAGAGAGATTGTATAGGCTGATGTAGTACATATTGCACCAATAAATGAAATACAAATCAAACTAATGATTAATATATGCCAAGTAAATTAATTAAAATGTATAAAGATGAACTGTATTTTAAGAAAAGTCAATAGCAATAAATTTCTTTTGACAAATGAAAATAAATTACCTGTTCAATAAATCCAATAGTGATGACTGCCATCAATCTCCAGCATAGTTATCGTGGCACAACAGTAACACAGTCTAAAAATTACAAAAATTAATTAAATTAATACTGCCGTTTCCCTAATAATATTAACGATTTAAAAATTATCATAATTCGAAAATAATCATAAAGGGAACAACAAATACGCGCAAACAAAAAATTACAAATATAATGATTGCAAAATTGAAATAATTTACAACACGCAATAATTATTACAGTCATTAAAAATAAACATTTAATAATTATTGCAACTGCTGTACAACAATAATCAATTGCACATTTTAATTGATACTCGAGAACACCACAAAGACGTTTATGAGTAAACACGATAACAAAAATGAATATTTTATGATTTTATTCAATATTAGCCGAGGCTCTACCATACCGAAGCATAGTGGAATTTTAAATATAACTGACACATTTGTTTTTTAATTTACTAAGTTTTTTTACCTTNCACATTTGTTGTTTTAATTTACTAAGTTTTTACCTTAACTCTAGGGGAAAAGGAATTAAAAACTGGTAGACGAGTAGTATAGGCGATGATGTTCTATTTTATATAATGAGTTTAAATAAAATAATGATGCCCAAAGTACAATAAAATAATGTCAGNATGCCCAAAGTACAATAAAATAAATGTCAGTTACAAATGTTCAAAATAAAATAAAATTACAAATTCTTTTATATAACATATTTCAAGTCATAGTTAAAATTATTACAAATTATTAAATGAGCTAAAGGACAAATAAAACAAAAAGAACATGAGGGAGAAAATAATCTCTGACAATGCTGTATTGACTATGTTCGATTTGACCAAAGGACAGGAGCGTACTTTGCAATATTGAATAAAATAAATTGGTTATCATTGCAATAATGTTCAAACTAAGAACTTGACATCGGTCAATATGGATCTAGACCTTTTATACCGAGCCTTGAGACTGCAAGCACATCTAGATTGGTCCAACACATGTGAGATTTTATTACACTCAACATGACAAAAATAATTATAGGGTGGACGAAAATAATATTTTCAGCTGATTTACCATAAGTCAATGAGCAAATATGCCAAGAGATCAAATAGAATAATTATATTAAAATATTTAAAATATATTAATGTCATTTAAGTTATTTTTAAAGAAACCTCANTATAACTGACACATTTGTTTTTTAATTTACTAAGTTTTTTTACCTTAACTCTATGGGAAAAGGAATTAAAAACTGGTAGACGAATAGTATAGGCGATGATGTTCTATTTTATATAATGAGTTTAAATAAAATAATGATGCCCAAAGTACAATAAAATAATGTCAGTTACAATTGTTCAAAATAAAATAAAATTACAAATTCTTTTATATAACATATTTCAAGTCATAGTTAAAATTATTACAAATTATTAATTGAGCTACAGGACAAATAAAACAAAAAGGACATGAGGGAGAAAATAATCTCTGACAATGCTGTATTGACTTTGTTCGATTTGACCAAAGGACAGGAGCGTACTTTGCAATATTGAATAAAATAAATTGGTTATCATTGCAATAATGTTCAAACTAAGAACTTGACATTGGTCAATATGGATCTAGGCCTTTTATACCGAGCCTTGAGACTGGTAAGCACATCTAGATTGGTCCAACACATGTGAGGTTTTATTACACTCAACATGACAAAAATAATTATAGGGTGGACGAAAATAATATTTTCAGCTGATTTACCATAAGTCAATGAGCAAATGTGCCAAGAGATCAAATAGAATAATTATATTAAAATATTTAAAATATATTAATGTCATTTAAGTTATTTTTAAAGAAACCTCGTGACAATACACGAATAGAGGAAACAATGAAATGGACGAAAATAAAGAAAAACGGGAATGCTGTACAAAGTTACCAAATTATATTATTATGACGTCCAGGCCGTAGCCAACAAATGAAATCTTCACCCATGGCTCGATCGCCAGGGCCAAAAGTAAAAGTTAGGCAGCAATGAGATGTTCAATATACGCAAAAAATAAGTAGATGGCTGGAGACAAATTCGACGACCAGCCAAAACACATTTTGAACAAAACGGCCAGACCACTTGACGGCGACGACACACATGGACCGGAAGGGGAAACAAATGCCGACATCAGTGCATGCCTCGTTGACAGATATCTGGGACCGATTGAATTATTGACAGTACTGAAGTGGTCAGCTGGGCGTTTTGTTATCACAATGATAATTTGTTATGAACGATTGTACAACGGATAAAATATAAAAAGGAAATGTGCGATTGCATTATTTAGGAAGATTTAATTATGTTATTACTAAATTACAATGTTCAAAATTAGTTTTTTATTCACCACGAAATTAATACTATCTAGACAGTAACACCGCATTACCAATTGCTGAGCAGTTACACTTAATTATATGATGTTCACAATAACTAATTTTATTAACTTATGTGTTTAATAGTACTATTAATGATAGGTAAAATTTTTGACGTCACACAGTGTACTAATCACATCCATTTAAAAAATCCATACAAATTTTTTAATTAAAGTTAAAACTGAATTTTATAGAAATTATAACATATTTTCTAAAGTAACATGTGGAGATGATGCTTGGTTTGAAAATGACCACAAAACATAATAAAAAATGTAACAATGTTGAAGTATTTAGATGTTAGAATGTATCACGAAATTAGAATAAGAAATTAAGAACGCAATAAAACACAAGCAAAACTAACAAAGACTATTCATTTCAATTACAATCAAATTTTGTTACTGTTTTCAGGG